TATACTAATATTAACATAGTGGGATTTTGGTAGCCATCAAATTGGTTTCAATCTAGGTTACTCACTCCTGTATATAACTTAAGGTTTTTGGGCTAATTGACATGTACATTTCTGTATTCCATTTCTATATTTCATATCTATATTCTATATACTCACATTGTTGAAAATGAAAGGTAACTTTGATTGTTCTTAAGAAGTGTTGAGATATAGGATTTTGGTTTAGATTTAGCTTTTGCATTGTCTAGATCTCCTTTTTCTTATAGCTTTTTTCAACTTCTTATCTTTTTCTTTTTTCTTTTTGTTCATCTTCATAATAAAGCATCAAGCTCCTCCTACTTTGACTTTAGAATAGTATTTGGTGCAATTGTTAGATGTTATAGTTGTAGTTGAATAATTAAACTCAATTGATAGTGGCATTCATGATGCATGGTACAACTCCTTTTGCTTTTATTGTCAATCCTTGAGTTAAGTTAGAGTTCTTCTATAGGAATCTTAGGGATAATATGTACCATTCGTTCGATCACTTCACAATGATTGCTACATATAATTTTTGGGATGATATTTGGTGTTTGTGTGAATTTCCCATGTGCCTCTAAGGGACACCATTACAATGGTATAATGGTTTGAACGCAACCATTTGTGAGGATTGGAACATTCTTCTAAATGCCTTTAAATTCGCATTTGGACATGCCAATGATTATAATAATGCCTTCCAACAATTACATTATCTTTATCAAAAGCCATTTGAGTTTGTGATGCAATTTAGCATTTATTTCTGAAGCCTTTTACTTCGTGCAGAGCCCAATATGTAAAAGTGGATCAAGTTGGGAATGTTATGGCCAATACTTTGTCAAGATTTTATAAAACTTATGCATTCACTTGCTTCAACCACCCTTAATAATGTTTTTTGGCACAATGGTATAAGATGTCATATTTTCCACTTTTTGTTGCACAACCTTTAGCTCCACTTCATGTAAGAGATAGTCCTATTCTTATGGAGGTTGATGCTATTATTGCCCGAGTTCATGGAAAGGGCAAGGATGTGGTCATGGCCATGATGTTCACTATTGAGTTTGTAATGAAGTTAGTTACACTTATTGGCATTATCAACATTTTTTAGATTGATGACTTTCATTTCTTGGGTGAAGACTTTGGTGTCAACAAGATGGTTATGTTCCAATTGAGGTTGATACTATTGCTACCACGTTCAAGGATAGGGCAAGGACATGGTCGTGGTTGTGATATTTACTATTAGGTGTATAATGAAGTTAATCACACTTATTGGCATTGTTGGTGTTTTTCGAATTGGCAATCTTTATTTCCTGGTTGGAGACCTTGGCATTAATAACATCCTATTAGTGCTGTTGCAATAGAAAATCTGAACACCAAGATGCTTTCAAAAAATGAGGAGTCACATAAGTAATGGAAAGTTTTTGCACAAATAAGTTAGTGACCCCTCTATCTTTCTTTCAAGAGTATCATCAAAGGGTTCATTCAATACTAATTCATCTAGTATTTACTTGTTTATCTTTTATTGTTTGGCCTGTTGCCACATGTTACTGTCTATATTTGCATCATGTAGCAGAGTTAGTTTTTATTCTATATAGCAACAGCCGTACACGCATGTGCATAAGATGAGGCAAACGTAGTTGTGCATGTAACTGATTTTGAGTTTGAGTTATAATCATTGCAGGTGGTGCCGAGTCAAGCTTTTGACCTCATTCTTGATTTAGATTGGTTGCAGTGCAATCATGCCAAGTGTGATTTTAAGGCTTCTCCCTCTTGTTACCTTTGCTTTTATCATTTTTATCTCTCTATTACTTCTTCCCATGTTTCCATCTTGTTCCTTTATTCCCTCTACATATGTCTTTTTATTGACTGGAGATGCAATACAATATTATTCGGTATGTGCATAGTTGTGTTTAGTGCTAAATTCATAATACTCCCTCTCATGCTACAAAAGGACGGTTGGAGTCAATTATAATTTCCCATCCATTTGAGTTAGAGGCATTTGACCTGATTGGGCCTTTTCCATGATTAACAGTTGGCAATGAGTATTTCATTATTGCTTCTAACTACTTAACTTATTAGGTGGAAGTCAATGCTTTTGTTAGCATGTTTATAACTATTATTGAATACTTCCTCCTCAATTGAATGGTGTTTTAGCATTCCTGTCCAAAGCAAATTCTTTCGGATAATGGTCCTGCATTTATGGTTGAGGCATTTTATGTTTTAACATCTTGGTTGAGGATACACCACACTTTCACAAGTGTTTATTATTCACAATTAAACAGTTTGGTGGAATGGTTTGTTCAGATCTTCAAAGGATGATTGTGAAATACATAAATTTTCAGCATTCGGATTGAGATAGTTATTTGCCATCTCTTTTATATATGTATGTTATAAGGGTGCAGATTTCTAGTGGTGTTTCACCATATAAACTTTTATATGGTCATGATCCAATATTACCAACGGAGTTGTGTTTACCTTCATGATTGCCACAAATTACTAATGCTAATTCGTGGGATTAATATTTAATGAGCATTTTTCTACTTGTCTAAGCAAAATCTACTAAACACCTAGACCATGTACAAGTGGGATAACAATAATGTTACAACTCTTATCATCATCCACCTGTGGAGTATAAAGTGGATAATTTGGTGTTAGACTGTTTTCCCAATCTTATAGTACGTGAATTATCTAAAGGGCTCCTTACTCAATAGAAAGGATTATATTGGGTGTTATGGCAAATTGGACCACAACTTTATAATGTTTGATATGATGTCCATTAGGCTAATCCTCTAAAAATTATGCATGTGTAATAGCTGAAATGCTTTGTATTAAGGGATTAGAAACAATTAACACCACCTATAGATCCACGAATGCCTCCTTTTGATATTCCTTCAAATCCCAACCCATCTATAAGAGAACTTTAATAGTCTTCCATCATTTTAAGAGGAGGGGATGATGTGAGATTTAAGTGTACAGTTACGATACTGTATACTAATATTAACATAATAGGTAACTGTCAGATTGATTTCAATTTAAACCATTCACTCAGCTAAGGTTTTTGGGCTAATTGATATGCATATTTCTATATTCTATTTATATATTCCATATCCATATTCCATGCACTCACATACATAAATTATAATTGACTAACTGTTACACTAAGTTTTTTGTTTGCTTAAGCATTTTACTATCAATGAAATAAATCTGCATTATTCAGCTTGCTTCAAGTTTTTTTATAGGTGCTCTAGCCAGCTAGTGTTGTTTTTTCTAAAAGTATTCTTTCCATAAAAACAGCACTAAAATTTCTTTTTGATTAGCTTGGATAATATCATTATCCTCTTGGCTCCTCTAATATTTACGTGGCAACGATCCCTCATCCAAACTTTATGTGGCAATGATGCCTCACATCAGAATGTGGCCTTCACTTGTTGGGTGGATTCCAATGGTAAGAACTTCATCAATAACTATTCATCATTTTGTCGAAATAGCACCACCACATACACTTGCTGGTGCTTGTGATCTTGTTAGCGGGTTAATTATTTTGAGGAACTGTCTCAAACAGGTTGTTCCCGCCGGACTGTTCTTATTGCCTCATGCTCCGGCCTGCTCTGTTGTTTTCATAGACTTGACGCCCCCATTGTCACACGGCAGCCATGGTTGCCATTATGGAGCGGCCATGGTTGTTGCGGGTGGCCATTTGCAATTCTTGCACTGGCTCCTACTTAACCTTCCCACTCTGGGGGTGTGTATAGCGAGGGCCAGATTAAGCTGGAAATGAGAGGCAACCAGGACGAGTTCAGCATTCACGTGCTCTGCACACAATCAGCAAACTGTTTATACTTGGCACTCAAACTCCAGAGTCTGGAATTCTTCAGCCTATAGTGGCATGTTGACTGGGCATGGAACTTCCAGGATAGCAAGTTGCAGGCTTCTCTGAAACATGGACCGGAATGCCATTTCCAGGTAGCTTGGGATGACTTCCCGCTGCCACAAGGATACTCTTACTTCAGGGCGGAAGGTGATGGTGGTTGGCCAATGAAACAGGTCCATATAGTATTGTATTGCTGGAGCTGGAAGAAGGCGGACGTGAGTGGAAGCCGGTAGCGTGGGCAAGCAGCGGCCAGTTTGCAGATTAGGGGACTTAAACTTCACAACATGTTGCTGATTCGCCTCTTCAAGGCAGTGATCTGGTAGTGATAAACGCAGGAATTCTGAAACAGCCCGTAGCTTTCCATCTCAATCATCACAATTGGTTGGAACTTCCTGCCAGCGTTTGCCGCTGCCGCCTCACTGTCCAGTCGGTCTGCATTTACAACCTGTAGGCTGCTAACGATTCCTCAGAAAGCTCTCCCTCTCAAATGGGCAAATTTACCTCCAGTTACAATTTGTTTTGGAACCCCTGGTATGTTCTGGTCAGGCTGCTTCAAGAAAATAGTGCAGAGATGTCGATGGTGTAAAGAGGCTGTCCACGGTTTGTGTCTATTAGATGATAAAGAAGTTAATGTAACTAAGCTCAATATGGAATGAACCTCATTTTAGAGTTAAGAACGTTTATAACTTATAAACATGTTTATACAAGGTTGATTTAAATGCTTAGATAAAGTTCGTTTTTCAGTACTACGTAAGAGATTTGAGTTTTAAATGGCCTGACCGATCTCGCAGAGCAGCTGTCTTACGGAGCTTTGAACAGGCAAGAAGATCAAGCTTTAAACGTGAGTGTCAGCCTTTCTGTCAGCAAAAATTGACTCTCCTCTGCTTCGAACCGAGAGAGTATGATAAAACTCTTGTTATTTGCAGATTCCAGAAGCACATTGTAACTTTTGCCAAAGCATTGCAAATATTTGGGACACGAAGTCCTCGCGCATTCAATGACCTGCAAATTAAAAGGTTTGGTGGCGGTAGGAGGTCGAGCCTATCTCGTGTTTGCGATGCTCACTATAAATACTGCCACCCCAAACTTCTTCCTCCACACACACCGAGTTCTTCCATAGTTTTCTCTCTAGTCACTTGCTTCCTGGTTCTTGGGTTTTTCATCGTCAATCTATCGATTCATTGATCTTAGCAATGAAGCGCGGTATCGCAGTTCTCGCATTGTTCTTGGTTATCCTCCTTGCGCTTGATGGAGCTCTTGCGATGCGCTCCCTGGCGGAGGAAGAGAAGCAGCCATCCAAGAAATCTCCCGATGTGAGCGATCAAGAGGAGGAAGAGGAGGTGTTCCAACCTCAAGGTGGTGGACGGGGAGGACACGGTGGCGGATACGGCGGTCGCGGAGGATATGGCGGGGGATACGGAGGTGGGCGAGGAGGCTACGGTGGTGGATACGGTGGCGGCCGCGGAGGGTACGGCGGTGACCATGGAGGGTACGGTGGTGGGTATGGCGGTGGCCGCGGTGGGTACGGTGGCGGCCGCGGAGGGTACGGCGGTGACCATGGAGGGTACGGTGGTGGGTATGGCGGTGGTCGCGGTGGGTACGGTGGCGGGTACGGTGGCGGCCGTGGCCATGGCGGGTACGGCGGTGGCTATGGTGGCGGACGTGGCCATTTCTCCGAGGGAGAAGACGTTGCTCCTTGAAAGGTTCTCGCTTTAAACTTTATAAAAAGGTAGTCAAAGTAAAATTAAAATACTCTCGTGAAATAAAACTTTTATTTTCACCTGGGATATGGTTTTGATTTGGAGAGATCATAGCTCGTACCTCCTGTGATTCCTTCCCATCAAAATCTTTCTTTCTTGATTTGGCCAAAAGGCTGTGATTGACCCTTGGAATATATCTCCCGTGTTCAACGATACTGCCGTACGAAAAAGGAATTCCCGCGCGAAAGGAAAAATATCGTACACGTGTTTGAGTGACAGCCACAACGTACTGCTTAATGCCTATCCAGGTGGGCACTCTTTCTTCTCTTAAGTGAGATTTTAGGGCGCGCGGGGACCGCCGCGACTGCGATCTCTCGATTTCCCAGGCGCGCGGATGATCGAGGTAAGCTCCCATCGATTCGTGCTGTAGATTAGGAGATAGTACAGCGCAAATGCGCCACGGCGCCACGGAATTTCCACACGCGCAGGACTTGACACTGTTCCTGCGCTGTGTTCCAGGTTTAAGCGGGCAGTATGTCATTGTGCACTTCCTCCTCAGGGCACAGCTTTCCCGAGCTTAGATTCTCGTGTCATTCGCGGCTAGTGAAGAAATCCCAGCATCTCGGCACCAAATTTTCCCAGGGAGTGTTTCTGGTGGGGTACAAGCAATCATGCTCGTGGGGGCATCACTTTCGCAAGCGAGCTAGAGCATCGAGGCACGTTAGAGCTTTTTTGCAAGATGGGATAGATTGTGGTGCCACTAGTCCGGATAAGGAGCCACTTCCCGGTATTAAAAAAGGAGGAGGGGGAGGAGGAGCTTCTAGGTGGTGCTCCTCGAGTGATCACAAAGAGACTACGGAGAGAACTCGAGTCAAGGAGGAAGAGTTTTCGATCGACGCTGCCAAGCTTCCTCAAGTGTTCCAGCTTCTATCCGCTTGGGATACCTTGTCCGAGAGGTTGTCTCCGGAGATTTTGCAGTGCAATGGTTCCCAGCTGCTTTTATCCACGCTGAAAGTCGCATTACCGGCGTTCCAGCTCGCTCCATACTCTAAAGACGGAAGGTTTCAACTCTCCCGAGCGCTTGCCATCGCTTACACGCTCGCTGATCTTCATGTAAGTCGTGGCTTTGCAAAGTTCCTGTTGGAGGTTTACAGTATGTTTTGTTTTTTCTCGCGCAGATGGATGCTGAAGTTATTGCATCGGGCATTCTCCGTGTTGCTATGGAGACAGAGGTTCTATCTCTTACTGATGTGCAACGAGAACTTGGTGCTGGGGCTTTCCACCTTCTTGACGACTCCTTGCGGGTGAATCAACTCGCTTGTTGTCTAGACAATCTGGACGATGAAAACGCCAACATGCTTCGTGACTTTTCGCTTGCTTATCACGACATCCGGGCTATGGTTGTGGAGCTTGCTTCTCGCCTGAACGAGATGCGGCACGTCGACTGCCTTCCAAGGCTTCGGCAGCAAATGGCGGCTCTGGAAAACATGCAACTCTATGCTCCTCTGGCTCACGCTCTGGGACTTGGCACTCTATCTCAGGAACTGGAAGACATGGCATTTCGGATTTTGTTTCCCGATTCGTACCAGTGCGTCGAGGACTGGCTCCAGAGCCACTGGGGAGACGGAGAAGCTATTATCGCGGAGTCTATAAAGCAACTGAAGGCTGCCTTAGAGGCTGACAGTGTGCTTCAAGGCATGGTAGAGTCCGTGAAGGTGACAGGCAGGCGTAAGAGTCGCTTCAGCACGATGAAGAAGCTGCTCAGAGATGGCCGGGGGCCCGACCAAGTTTACGACATACTCGGCCTTCGGGTAATCCTTTTTCCGAAGACTGGTGCTGGAGAGGAAGCTGGCATTGCGGCTTGCTACAGGGCTCAGAAGATTGTCACCAATATGTGGAAAGAAGTACCAGGGAGAATGAAGGACTACATTGCAAAGCCGAAGCTAAATGGATACTCGAGCTTGCACTTGGCGGTTTTTCTGACAAAATACGGCCCATGGAGTTTGCCTATGGAGCTTCAAATCCGAACTTCGGCTATGCACGCGCATGCTGTCGCTGGAGGTTCGTCACACGCACTATACAAAGGAGGCCTTACGGATCCCCGACAGGTTTGTCGAGTTTTTATTCTGTTTTCTCAGCGATTTAACGGTGCTCTTTTCAGGTTGAAAATTTCAAGGCCGTTATGCTTGCAGCGGCTAAAACTGCTGCGTGCCGGTTTCAAAGTGATACGGTGTCTGAACCGAATGCCGATCACGTCTTTAGAATGTTCGATAAAAACAGCGATGGAATTATCAGCAAGGAAGAATTCCACGATGTACTTTTACAGCTTGGAGCAGACAAAGGTGACACCTCCGAACTTCTGAGGCTTTTAGACACCAACACAGATGGATCTGTTGATACCAACGAGTTTGCAGAATTAAAGCGACAGGTACTATCATACTGAATGACATAGTCTAAGACGTTCTCTGCAGGTTCGAGCTTCTCCACAGAATAGCCGCCTTAGATTCCAAATCCGAAGGAACAAGGACTTCAGCAACAGCTTGCAACATACAATCCAGCTTTCAGTATTTTGACGTAAGCATACATGTGGCTTGTTTTCAAATGACCGAACAAGCTATACAGGTGTAAATACAACTCTGAGCATGTATAGCGACTGTAATGTACCATAGATGACACACAATAGTTCCCGAGAGAAGAAGCTTTCATGTATGCTTTTCATGAAAGCTTCACAGGTATATATATGCTAGCATACTTACCAATTTTGTATATTTTTCTCGAGTAACAAAACTGTTTACATGTATCTCGTGGAGTTTGGAGAGAAGAAGTCCTTCTCTCTTCGTCTAGACGGGCAAGTTATGAATCGTCGCTAGCTGTTTCCCATTCTGACTCGTCATGACTAGAGCTTTGGTTGTCATTCCAGTTTCGATACCGATACTCGATTGCTCCCCACTTTTGGGATGCCTCTTTGAAGAGCCAAGTCGCGCGCATTTGTTTCTTTATGAGAGCCTCGATGTAGTCCGGTACGTTGCTTTTCCTGTTCTTTTTTTGCGAGCACTCAATCATGTACATGATGCCGTCCAGCAGGCTCTCTTTCGGAAGTCCTTCCATCTCGTATGCCTGAGCTCGTCTCCACAAACTGTCTCTGTGCGTTTTTTGGAGGCATAAAGCTCGGGTAGAGTCGCTTATAGCAGCTTGATTGTTTTGAGACAGGAGATGACATTGTGCACGGTTGCTGTAGATGGAAGCTCTCTGTTTCTTGGCTTTCAGGGGACAGAGTTCCAGCGCCTCGGTATACTTGCACGCAGCACCATGTATATCTCCCGATGCAAATCTGGCGTTGCCTTCGAGCCGCAACAGCATCGCAGCAGCCTTTCGTATCCTTAAGTCGTCTTTGTCTTCGTCTCTCTCGAGTTTCATTCTCTGCTGAGCCGCTGCAACTTCGTTGAGTGCCAGCCTTGTTTCTAAAGCTTGTGACTGTTCTGCAGGATTTCGTAGCAGGGTGGTTGCAATCAAGTCCCCGAGCTTTTTCTGGTCTCCCGACATTGTCGAGAGCTCCGTCAGGTCCACTAACGCGCATGCTGCCTGGTCAAGCACCTGGAGAGAAGAAACAGAATCAGAACTGTGTCGTCATAATCGCAGCCAGAGAAAAGCATTGGAGGGTAAAAAAGGGAAGAATAATCACCTTGTGTCTGGAAGCAACGTCTTGAACCAGCCAGACAAGGCAGTCGACAGCCATGTACTGCCAGTCGTCCGACGAGCGTGCCACATTGCAAAGTCCGTTTACAACTCCAGGACAGTCAGCTACAGCGACTCGGCCAGAGCTTTCACGGCAGATGCTCCGGAGGAGGCCGATTCCAGCTGGAGAGCTCTCGTTCACCAGGCCTCCCCACATACCGAGAAGCTTGCAGAGGAACTCTTTGTTGCCACAGACGACGGCCAGGTACTCTTCCCGGAAAGCAAAGCAGTTGATCAGCTGAAGTGACCAGCACTGGAGCTGACTCGCCCATTCCTCGGCTTTACGCGACTCCATCTCTACGCCTCCGAGTCCTCGGGTGAGCAGGTCCTGGTGATACTCGAGCCTCCGGTCGACAAAGCGGTAGAATTGTGTGTAGACTATGTCCAGAGCATCGGCTGCCAGTTTCATCGCTACGTCCAAGATTTCTCTGCAGTCGAGGATGTAACTGAAGGTACTCTCGTATGTTGCTAGATGGCCGAGCGCTCGCAAGGCAACTCTCTGTTCCACCCAGGTAAGTTTTCCTTTGAGCAACTCGAGTAAAGCTGGAATAACTTTGGCTTGCACAGCTCTGATGGCGAATTCCTCGACAATCATGGTATAAGAGCCGATAATGTGAGCGGCATAATACGGGATGAATATGTTTTGGTCGCTGGCCAGCCATTTTCGGTCCCGGATACCTTTGAAAATGAGAGCCGCCATGCACTCGAAAATTCCGAGCTCGATGAACTCGCCATCGGTCGGCCGGAGCAGTGCTGCGTTCCAGAGACCACTTATCGCCATCACCTGTCCGGGCTCGTCTCGCTCGGGAAGCTGCTTGAAAAGCTGTGCGATACTGGAGCGACGCTTGGAGGGAGCTACATTCTCTTTCATCAGGCAGAAGAGGCATCCGGGGTACGGGCATTCCTTGCAAGCGTCCATCCTTCTGATACTTGCGTTGCTACAGGAAAGTGATCTCTAGGAGCAAGACTCCCAACAGTGAGCAGAGATCTTCATAGAGGCGGTGCTACGTTTTGAAGAGGGAGAAGAACTTACTAGCGTGGTGTGGAGGCTCTGAATTGCTGAAGCACTAGAGGGTCCCTCCTGTCAAAAGACGATGCACGACTGAAAAGGGGCTGCTTGTATGATCCGTTGA